GACCGCGCCGCTGCCGTAGGAGATGGTGTAGGACTGGCCGTCGCAGATGAAGGTGGAGGACTCGCTGGGCTCGAACTTGGCATGATTGACTGGGAGAGAGAAGAGGGCAAAGCTCCTGGGCACACGCTCGCCTGGCCCCAGGGGGGATTTCACTGCCGGTCACTCTGCCGGGATAACGCCTGGGAAAGCGGCTTCCCCAGCGAAGAGCAAGTCATGAAGAGTGGAACGGGCTGTTCCTCTGCCTTGTGGTTACCCCTAAGACAGGACTTGGTATCCCAGTTTTTCCTGCATCCCTCTCAAAAGAACAGCTGTTGTGAGCACAGCCGCATCCGCTACCTGCCCCAGCGGGGCCCGAGCCATCGGCAGTTAAATCCCCATCGCTCTCCCGCCGGCAGCGAGTTACATCGGAGGAGCTCTGCCGGGGAGCGGGACATCAGCTCCATCACTCGTAGCTTTGCTCCCCCCCCCCCCCAGCCACAAAAGGTCGGGCACAACCACGGTGATTTCTGTGCTTTGGGGACACCCACGGTGGCCGGACCCACTTGGCCATCATTAGCCGGACACACGAGTACGGAGAGCTCTGTATTCCCAAGCAAGGCACCAGCTGGCACTGGGGAGCAGCTATCCCAAATGGATCCCGGGATTGTTTTTGGTCTGGCACCGTGACTTGCCCCGCGTGATGGGACCAGGCAGCGCTGCTCTGGGCAGCTGCCGTACTCACAGCACGCCGGCGCCTGGCAGTAGGTGGAGGGCACCCACAGGCTGGAGGAACCGGTGTCGAAGAGCACCAAGAAGTTTTGCGGGGGGGTCCCGATGCTGATCTCCCCGAAGTAGGAGGACTGCAGGCGAGAGATGGGATATCTCCATTAGCCACAGCGTCAGGGACAGACCAGGCTTTCGCCCTTTGCCGGCATCACAGAATCATGGAATGGTTTGGGTGGGAAGGGGCCTTAAAGCCCACCCAGTCCCACCCCCTGCCATGGGCAGGGACACCTTCCACTAGACCAGGTTGCTCCAAGCCTCATCCAGCCTGGCCTTGGACACTTCCAGGGATGGGGCATCCACAGCTTCTCTGGGTAACCTGTCCCAGTGCCTCCCCACCCTCTGCGGGAAGAATTCCTTCCTGATGGCCAACCTCAAAGCATCCCAGCCCTTTGCAGGGTGTGGGGGAATGCCAGGCTGAATCTTGCAAATAACAAAGTAGGCAGGAATGGACCAAACTCTGCTTTTTCTCCCAAAAGATGTAATGTTAAATATTTAGTTTGCTATACCTTTTATTACCTAGAGAAAAGGATCTCTCTGCAAGGCCGGGGACATATTTGACTTTTCTAAAGTCTAAAATAGAAGCTTAAAAAGAGTGGTGGAAAAAAAAAGTAATTTCTCACTCCTGGAAGCTCAGGCGTGAAGAGATCACTCCGGCGGCTGGGGAGGCAGAGGGAAAGGGGATCATGGCGTACGGACAGGCAGTGAGAGGGGAACCGGGGGTACTCACGTCTAGGTGGTTGGTTATCGGCTCATACACAACATAGTCCTCACTGAAGCGGTATTTCTTAACTGGATCGTATTTAATTTTCTTCAGGTAGTCCTCCAGCACTCCAGCCTCCCTCATTTTCTCCCGTATTGACTTGGCTTTCTTCAGTTTGATTCTGCACAGAGAGAGAAAAAAAAAAAAAACCAAGCCCAAAATACAGCAAGAAATTAGAAGATTTGGGTGTTTTCAGAGGATCTTTGGGCCCCTTTGAACCTTGCCACGATGGGAGCCCTCTACTTGGCTGCCTTGTACGTCCCCAGGGGCTGCCATCCCAGCAAGGGACCACGACGGTCTGCGGAGGTGCAGGAGGCTGGACTCGCACCCAGCTGGGCTTGGTCAGCATCCTCAGGGACACACAGCCCGTGTCACCAACCCTCTCCCCGCTCCTTCTGCCGCAGGACACCCACCTCACCAGCCCCTCTGAGAGCTGGAGACACACCAGGGCCAGGACAAGCCACTTCATGGTGCAGGATGGCCACCGGTCCCCACACACCCTCTTGGTGACCACAGCAGATGGGCTGAGCTGCCCAGATTCCCCAGTTTTATACCGGGAAGCAGCAACTCCCCCTTATCTGCTGACCTCCATTTTCCATTACCGCCACGCGCACCCCCGGCTTCAAGGGTTTCTTTGTGTTTTGGGCCACGAGGATTTTGAGGAGTTTGTGTCCTTAGCGAGGTGCTCGGGTGAGAATAGAGCAGCACACGCCTTCCACACCAAGATCAAAGTGTTACCATCCGATAAGAGCCCGGTCCTTATCGCAGCGGAGAGAGGAGTGACCCAAACGTCACCGTGGTGGGGACGTTATCTGTCTTCGTCAAAACCTGTTCCAACCTTTTCCCAAAACAAAGGCGCTCGCGGCTCTTGGCGTGGGATGGAAAACGCGTCGGACTGTTTGTCTGCCGTTCTTCCGCCCGGCCAGCCCGGCCGTGGGACCTGCTGGCGTGGAGGAGGGATGGCGGCTGGCGTCGAGGCTTTTCCAGGCTGCGGAGCAAAGAGCTGGAGCCGGCTGCCCTGCTCCCGCTGTCCCAGGGCTTCGGCGAGCCCACGAGGTTTCGTTTGCCTTCTCGTAGGTGCTTGTCCGTGCTGCTCTGTCCTCTGCTTCTCCACGGGGTCTGTCCTTCCCCACCTCTCCACCAGCCTCCCAGCCCTTCCCATCCTCTCCTCCAGTCTACGTATGTCAGAGACTTCAATCCTGCTTCTGCTTTCATAACCTTTTGGACAAAAACCCCATTTTTTCCTATTTTTATTGCGAAGAGTAACTGCTTCCCTGTCCATCCTGAGTTAAAAGGTGGGTGCTGCGCCCCCCTGCATCGTTTAACCCACCCGTGGGGGAAGCCCTCGGGGTTTAACCCACCCACCCACTCCTTGAACAAGCCCAGAAAAGTCAGGAAATTCCATGTTTGCTTTTTTTTCCTCCCCCTGTAGAAACAAGAAAAAGAGAACCACAAACACAGACCTCCCAAACTACCAACAAACACCCAAACAGACCAAAACGTTTCCAGTCATAACCTCAATATTTCTAAGAAACAGACCAAAACGTTTTGGGTTATAAATTAAATATTTCCTAGCAAATGGACCAAAATGTTTTCAATTATAAACTAAATATTTCCTAGCAAATGGACCAAAATGTTTCCAGTTATAACCTAAATATTTCCTAGGCTTCCTCTGGCCCCTCTTGCATCCATTCTCCGGGCAGCCTGGCTCTTCACAGCGGGAAAGGGCCCTCTCCAGCATCATCCACCGGTAGCCCGGCATCGCTATCGCTGCTCTCATCCCGCGTCAACGCTCGGCACAGATTTTATTGCCGCGGGAGCACCGGGGAGTGTGTGTCCTTTTCTGGATATTGAGACTATAATAAAGCAATTATCTTGTTTGCTAGCAGGATTGATAGAAAGATCAACTTATTAAGATTGGATAAAAAGCAGATTCTGGCTGAAAGCAAAGAGCAGTTATCAAAACGTCAATACACCGAGTGTTATCTGCAGGGCCCCACGGGGACTCAGCCCTGCCGAAAGACAAAGGAATAAGGTGCCCTCTACAGCACACACAAACACAGTCTACTTTTGGCGCTTCTTGACCCAAAGTTGGACGGTCCTTGTTTGCTGAGGCGTTTAGTCTAACGGGAATCGAGGGTTTATGGTTTTTGCCATCAGGGATCCTGTGTCCCTGCATGGAGCAGGACGCAGCCAGCAGGACATACCCACACCAAGGCAGGAATTCTCGGGGCCGCTCGA